AGGCATCTTTGGTCAAATACTAGTAGTTTACGAGTATCTTCTACTCTTAATGGCCACTTTTCGCAGCCGTAAAGTAGAACAGAATGAACTACTGAGCAGTATACTCGTCCCTTAATTGATAGACGGATATCTCGCCTTCGCCATAGGTGACGTAAGTTGGCAAAAGCCCAACGAGCTTTACGAATCCGTGCTGACATTTCTTCCGACACCAACCCATTGAGGCTGATCAGACTTCCAAGATAAATGAAGTTGTCGACGCGTTTGACTACTTCACTTCCTTTCCTTAGTTCAGGTGTTGATGCAGGTCAGTCCTCAAGCAACAATCTGCATTTAGAGGGGGAGAAACATATCCCAAACATTGTTGCTCAGTGCTACTTAAAGATTGCATTTTATCAGCGTATTTACCAAACAGGACTATGTCATCTGCGTATTCCAAATTAATAAGCAAACCTTCTGGTAGGAGATCGATTCCTGAACATTCAGACGACGAAAGCGTTATTTTCAGCAGTAGGTCTTTGATGAAATTGAACAGTAATGGAGATAGTGGACAGCCTTGACGGACAACACTTGAGGTTGCAAAATCAAATGACGGTTCACCACAGGCTCTCACGTAATAAGTAGTGTTCGAGTAAAGAGCCTTCAAAAGGCTTATGTACTGAGGTACTCCTTTCAATGACAAACACTGCCACAGAACCTCTCGGTCTACAAAGTCAAATGCTGCTTTTAAGTCAAGAAAAACTATAATTGTTCGGCGCTGATAAGCGTGCCTGTGTTCTAAAACCTGACGTATGGTGAACGTGTGGTCGGTGCACCCACGACCAGGTCTAAAGCCAGCCTGATTTTATCGTGTTTGCAGTTCACAAGTCTTAGTTAGGCGTCCGATGATCATCGAGGCTCGTATTTTAGATACTATATTAGTCAAACTAATCCCTCTATGGTTGTCACCGGATGATTTTGACCCTCTCTTATATATTGGGACGATAAGTGATTGTGACCAGTCAGATTGGATTACGTCCAACTCCCAGATTTCAGCTAAAATATTAATCAACATAATCGTTAAAATTGAACCACCATACTTAAAGACCTCTGGAGCCGATACATCTGCTCCTCCTCATCTCTGATTAGCCATAGCTTTTCGAACTTCAACTAGAGTCGGGGGTCTATTTCAATGTTCTATTCAGGCTATTTGGAAATGATGAGTAGCTGAACTGCTCCTTAAGATGTTCCGCCCATAGTTCTAAAGGTTTGGACTGCGAGCAGATAAGTGCCGTCTTTTTTCCGAGATTGTCTCATTGGACTTCCTAACTTCAGTTTCTTTTATTAGTCTGAAAAGCTGTCTTGTGTTACCTACAATCGCTGCCTTTTCCATCTCTTTCGCTTTCATTGCCCATCACTATTCACGATCGTTCCTTAGACTTCTTGTTAACCTAGGTCGGATTTGCTTTCACTCTTCATCGTGTTCGGATCCTGATAAAATAAGTTTACGATCCTTTCAGTGCAATAGATGTCGCAAAACTCCACTGGTTTTTCGTAGCCCTTTGGTTCAAATCACCTACAGATGTAGCTGCTGTTCCCGCAGCTGTCTGTATATCTTTCGAAGCAACATCGTGGTCAGTTTCGTTTTCAAAATTGGCTTAGTGTGACCTCAGTTGTTCCTGGAATCTAATCTTGGTATTCTCGTCACTGAGTGCAACTCTAATGGGTCTTATCAATGTGACTTTTGAGCGTCCAGTGAGGTGCAGCAAAGAAATGTGTGCTTGTATTAGAGAAGAATCAGAGCCTAAACATGCATCCCAGAACATGCGGCAGTCTTCTGTAGAGCCTCTCCAACGATGACTGATGTCAATACGAGTCCATCGTTGGTTTGGTGCAGGAGGTTACCATGTTAGACGATGTCTCCTTATGTGCTTGCTAAAAATAAACGATTGTCTTAGCACACTTGCAACAGATGGTCACCATTATCTGTTCATTAAACCGGAATAGCAAAATATCCACCCAAATGTCTTTCTGTTTGGTTTAGGCTACCTATTTGAGCACGAAAGTCACTTGCCACGAGTACTATGTCTGAATATTTAGCTTTTTGAAGTTCTGGAAGCTTTCTGTAAAATTCATCTAACGCTTCATCCGCGCTGCAGTGGGAGTGTAGGCACAAATGACGAAATGGCAACAACGTGTGTTCCTATCCTTTAGGGTTCTTACGGAGCCATTTAGCCGAACAGAACATAGACGACTGTTAACAGTGATCTATTGTAAAAGTGCTTGCTGTGCACTCATATTTAGTGCTATGCCTACACCTGCCAGCCCACAAGAACTTGCCGTCGGATCGCCGGATAAATAGAGGGTATATCTCGTCGGCTTCCCGTTATGACTAGATGAGGTCAAGTGAATGACTACACTAGGATCCTGTGTGCGTGTTTCGGGAACACAGCATACATCAATCGTACCAGATTCTAGGGTCTTAAACAATGAGGCCTGCCGGTTGTTTTCACATAAGGTAAGTAAGTCGAAGGCACCAATGTGCAGTTTGGAGAAGTTTTAGTAGACTTGGGATAGTATTCGGCACACTAGAATCTTTGGCCATAGTGACACTTGAGGGGGAAGTATGAGGTTGATAGTCGATGTAATAGGAATAATAGAAATTGAAGACGGGGTAGCAGAAATATCCGGGTACTGTCTGTCAGACTAGTATTTTGAAATATTTAACAAATCTAACAATGAGGATTACCTATCATACAAGATACAAGACTCCTGGTAAACTTAATATCTCTACTTTCTGAAGATATACAGATGTATTGATAAATAATTACAAAGTCGTTACTGAGATTATCTATTCAGGACAATCATCTACTTTTTTAAATAATTTTTGCATATTGACATCAGGTTAAAAGCACCCCGAAGACAAAAACGAAAATGATTACTTCTTTTTCGTGGTATGTAAAAGTAATAACTTACAGTGTTACTAAGGTAAACAAGTTATTGTTGTGTCATTGTAATGGAATTTCAATCAAATTTGTCTCATTTAGTTGCAAAATAAAATCCTCGTCTAGAGTTTGGCTGGCACACAATAAAACAAATTTAAAAGCGTCACATGACTGGTCTACTTCTCGATCCCAAGTAGACAAACACCTTTGGTTTGGTCTTTCTTTGATTACGAAAACAATAAAAAATTGTTAATTTAACGAAACTCATACATTACATAACTTGCTTATTGAAGTATAGGATGGCGAATTTTATAAAGTAGATATTTAAACTACTGCTTAACAGCTTCAGTGATTAATTAGACCAGATTTTTTTCAAATTAGTCGACAATGAATTTTAAAAATACTCCATTGAACTACAGTTTAACTCATAATACAAGAAACTGGAGGAAATGAAATGAACAAAGTTTGTAGAATCATTCGTAAAACTTTAATTTCTTGAAAAACATTTTCAGTTAGAATCACGAGTTAAAATTGAAGACTAAAGTCAATATGGTAAGATCACATTGTGACACATTTGGAAACTTCACATGACAATACATCTTTGCATTAAAATTCTAAAATTGCTTCAGATTAAATTAACGCCAGTTTGATTGCTAAGAAAAAGCATTTTAGTGAATCATAAACTGTTATCTACATGTTTTCGTATAAATATGATTTCGCTTATCTTAAAAAAAGGTTAGTAGTGAATTCAAACTAATTGTGAATTAAGTTTAAGCGTAAATATAAATTCATCACACTCAAGATTGTGAAGAAAATCGGAATATGAACCAATGAAAACCCTTAGACAAGAATATTATGATACGTAAGTTTCAGTCAATACTTGAATGATTATCGTGATTAAAGAGTTCTACAATAAAATAGGTAATTTCACTAGCTTAACGTAATCATATTTGAAACGCCTGAACTCCTTAATGGTAATTATTAGAATAAAACATTAATATTAGTGCGAATAACAAGAAAAGCAGATCAATACAGCTCTTACATTTTAATGATACAAGTCAGTGTATTCTTACTATCACCCATAATAAGAACAGTAAGAAGAAATTGTTTAAATTAAATAGGTAAGAGAACTTAATTACAACCAGAAACGAGGACGATTAAAAATGAATTTGTGTTTATATCACAGATATAGTCAGGCCTAAATTCTTATGCAGAGATCTGTCATAATGTATGCAACCAAACATCTATCCTTCATTACTGCAGGATGAAAAGATAAACAAAAACATATGGAGTACCTAAGGTATAATTTCTGTTACATATTTACAATCAAATGACTTAAGCTTGTCGCTTGCCAAACAACTTTACCTTTTCCAATAGTTTTGCAGAAGAATAATCGTGTTACATTGGTAACTCAAAAAATGCGAAAATTCCATGAGGTTTCAAGGAGGATTAGAAAAGACAGACAGACAATAACAAACGATTATTCTAGGTAATAGTTACTAAAATAGAGCTAGCTTTGAAAGAAAAGATGTCACGGTACAATCAATAAGATCATACGAAAAATTATAAAGTTTGACGAACCACAGTAGCTTTAAATTATGATTAGTAATGATTCGAAAAACATTCATCATATACGAGTTTGCCATGTGCAACTTGTATTCAGAAAAGCGACAGTCCCAATATGTAAAACCCAGTTTCATTCAAAATTTATAACGCTCGTAAGATGTAAGTAAATTTGTTGAAATTTTAGGGCCAGCACGTGAACTAAACGCTTCTTGTGTCTCGTATCTAATGTCATCAGTTCAGAGTTAGTAAAATGACAAATAGTACTAGTCAAATTATCATGTGGTTGATGTAAACCTTTACAATCTAGAATACCAATAGCAACGAAAATAAGTGATTTGCTTCCCGAAAAACCAAACCATAGATAAATATATGACGACTCCTATCTTATTCAGATAATCACTGACCAAAAAGTATGTTTCGCAATATTACTATACAGGTAAAAAAAATACGAGATTGAGAGCTTCATCAACACATTCAGGAGTATTTTCTACTCCATAGGTACCACAGAAAAGTGTGAATCAGAACACGGAGATCACTTTATGACCAAAAATTAATGATACAATCATGAGACATGCGTAAAAAACAAGTATCAGCTCTAATAGTAACTTGATGGTATTAAACTTCTGGAGTTAGAGTCTTTAGAAATTTAACAATTAAGACTTTAATAGACCAGGTAGGAGCAAGAATTAGAATAAATAAGGTTCAATCAACTAAGCATAAATATTTATAATGCACGGGGCGATGGAGCTGAATTCCGGAGTTCACATATATTAGAAGCGTACATTGGACCAAAGGATTGAAAAACGAATGTGTATGACAGACTATCATCAAAATTAGAAATGAAAATACAAGTTTGACGAGTGAGAGGTCTCTGAAAATGCATTAACCCGCAAATGAGAAAATCCATGTGAATTTTCGAAACATACAACTAAGATGAACAGTTATGAAGCTTTCTTGCGCAGTTCTTCCTCCTCGATTTCGTCCACATCATTCGCCTCAACTTCGTGTTTAATACCAATCAAACTCGATTTTAATACACTTTTTGAAGCAGCATATATCATTCTCTTTTTAACATCCAGTGTAGACGGAACCCTAAACATATGTAACTATGGCGCAAACAGACGTACCATGAGACGAATATTAGAGTAGGCAGTTTTCCTTCGGCTTCGTAATCATAAACTGCATAACATCCTTCACCTTCATCCATCTTTTTTAATAAACTATCCTTGAAATTATGATACGTTTCCGCTACCAGTAAAGAAATTAATTGGTGATTACTTCTATCAGCTTGACAAAAGACTTTTATTTCTTTATCATCTTCAATATGGAAGAGGATGTATCGGTGCTTCTTATAACGCTTCAAGCATTCAAATGCTTCAATGCATGACCTGTGGCATTTTACTCCAGTACTCTAATACAACAAAGTAATGTTAGATTTTGTGGGTTTTAAAACAAAAATATTTATGTATTCACAAGATACACATAAATAAACTACAAACCATTTTAAGTGACGTTCAGACTCGATTACACAAGAAAGCGCAATATACTTTCAAATCCGCCCGTACATTTACTCCAACGACCTTGGTCAGCTCAGTTCACGGCGGGCATTTGATTTCAAATTTCAGATTCAGATTTGTGTAGTAAGGACAGAAGGCCTACGGCCTATGTTATTCCTTTTCTAGTAAGCTTCTGTGAGTGTGTGTGTGTAAAAACATGTATGCCGCCGGTATTTTGTCCGTTCTTGGCTTTTCTACTCGCCTGCTATGTCCTCTGAGGTTTCCCAATCTAGTGGGTAGAAAAAGAGAGGATAAGTTAAGTCTGAAATCATTCTCAGTGTTCTTTACATCAAAATTAGATCTCCCCTTAATCTGCGATAGGACAGAGTAAAGACGTCCAGTTTTTCAAGAGCTCTTTGTATGATAGACCTCGGAGTTCTGGAACTACATGGGTAGCTGCCCTCTGTACTTTTTCTAGGATATCCGAGTTACCTTTTAAACAGGGGCTTGCAGCCTGAACGCAGTTCTCAAGCTTAGTCCTCACTAAGGATGTGTATACTATGGTGAACATGGTAGTATCTAACTTAGTGAATGTCCGTTTTAAAGCCCAGAGTGTTCGAAACCCCTTAGCTGCGACCTCCCGGCAATGGGTTGTCGTCTTAAGATCATTACTCACTGTCACCTCTAGATCCTTATGAGACTGGACTACGGGTAATGGCACATACCTTATGTTGTAACTACTAACCTTTGAAACCCAAAGTGCATGTAGACACACTTTTCCGCGTTGATAGGCATCAACCACTCTTTGGACCAGTTCATCATGTTATTTAATTCTGCCTGAAGAGCACATGCGTTTTTATCTTCAGTTATTACTTGCCAGATTTTTACATCGTCAGCGTATAATAACATTGGAGACTGTTCTATACTTGGAAGATCGTTAACATACATTGGGATTTGAAATGCTGGTGTTAATTTTGAATGTGTGGGCTAGTGTATATCTCAGATATTTTCATGTCTATATAGTATGGTGACGAACGTCGTTTAAAATTATCATTGCTATGGTTAATATTAGTGCTGCTTGTATTCTTTTGCGTATAGCGGAAGTATTCTATCACAGTACGTATTTTAGACTTTGATAGTTGTTGCATTACGGAAAGGTAGGCCGATATTGATTTTGGTGGTGATTAGTGACACATGGAGATAACTTAGCGTTAACTTGATAAACAACCATTAGATAAAAGAAAAGGACACATATGGTCTTATGAGCAGGTTTTGCGTCGTGAATAATATATGTATCCTGAATTTGTAGTATCTGTCTAATAATGGTCAGTACATGTGAGATATATAAGATTCTTTTACTCCTTTAATGAGTGGATGCTGCACATAAGAGCATGATTGTCACCAAGGTTCAATTTCGATCTCCAACATTCACCTTATCTTCTTAATCGGCAAATTGGGGTTCACCACCTTGTCGTGTTCACAAAAGGCGTATGTAGATATTTTTAGATGATTGAAATGAAATCTCTGTTTATAATTATGCTCTTATATGCAGTTCTGAAACACTAAGCGAGAGGAAAAGTGTTCGAAAATGCTAGGTGCCGTATTCATATTGCACAGAAAGGACCGCTATCCTACGTGTTATATGAGTTTCATCATACAACAAGGTTTAGTTCAAAACTATGGTACAATCGTACAGAAGATAGTGCCATAGTGATATCTGATGAAAATATAGCCCAATGATAATTAAACAACGAGCGTCTGTTCACAAACTTGGTCAAAAAGCGTACCATGCTAGTTTACGAGCCTCAGGGAAACGTTACATCGTATATTTTGGTTAATTTTCCATAACATGTGTAAATTATTACTGGCACAAATATTAGTATAAAATACTAGGGACTTTGGAAGAGCATAAAACATCAGATGTTTTTACGCTTGTAATACGCTGTTTTCAAGTATAGAAGACTGGAACATCACATATAGTGATGAATTTTTTATACAGATAACCCATTCAATGAAAAAGTATTTATTTAGTAGATTTGAAAAATCGTTACTCCGAAATTTTGCATTGCTTTTAGGTGTTCTCTCGTATCCAGGGATAAATGAAGCTATTTATTGGTCGATATTTGAATGTTAGAAAGATCTTATCCTTACACGTAGTTTGGAAGAGCCATGGATTTCAGTTCATTGAGCACATGGATAGCTCGCCAGCAACATTAATGTAGTTCTTAAAAACAAAGATCGAAAGACAAAACAAACGGGCTTGGACGGATGTTCATCTAAGTCTGACTTGCAAACAATACTATTGAATCCATAATAGTGTAATATAATTTAACTACGCGTAAAAATCTAAAATTTTATAGCACGTTGTAGGCAGTAAATAAACCGACTCATAAACATCATGTATTTCTCTAACTTTTGAAGACTCAGTTATAGCACTTATAACAATAACATTAACATTTGATTCGCATGAACTAAAAAATCATCAAAGAGCAGTATAAGAATATTGACATCAAATATGTTGTCCTAAGTCGTTGTTTATAATTCAGTCAGTAATTTAAGATATGGTTAAAATAAACGATGTCGTAGTGAAACGTTTGCTTGTTAACTGTATTATTTTACACTTTGTGTCGCTAGCAGACACGTAATAACTGAACTAATTAGTCAGATGATTGCGTTGCCGGTTTTAATACAGACATGCATTGTCGTCACCAGCCACAAAAAGATAGGACATAGGAATGTAAACAGACTTAAGAAAATAAAGGCAAGGTCTTTGAAGAAATTTGAATCAAATTCAAACAACAGAATATCGATACATAGTCCTTTTGCGAGCCCTAATGAAAAGTGAAATTTTTGCATAATTGTCTCTCTTTGGAGCATACTTTTTATTTTTTGCCTAAGATCACTACATTCCAATTTTCGTGCAGACTCACATCAGACAGTTTGCTTTCCATCTAAATATCTCCAACATTTAGCAATACTTTCCTAAGGGAAAAGAATTTTCCACATGGCTGATTTGAGTTAGAAAAATGGTGCATATTTGAAATACCATTTCTAAACATGAACTTTTATTTCATCCACACGTTTCCTTTGAAGCTGGTACATATGCTTAATCACCGTTGTAGTCTGAATAGAACTAAAATCGAGCAGTGTATGCTATCAGACTGACAGTAATGTAACATTGAAATGATGCGTGTGTCTGAAAAATAGAAAGAATAAGAATTAGTAAAAGGTTCAACGCATATTTTCTTTCCTTCTCTTATTGCAGAGGCATTCAAATGTCAGCTTTGCAAACATATAAGGCTACTGGTTATGATTAAGATTGTTTAACGCGGTGTGCAAGAGACACTTATTATTCTGAACAACAATTTGTTACGAAGTTGTTTTGGCTTGTGTTATATAAAAAACTAGTCGACATTAGCATTTCTTCTTGTGATTAGTCATATTTAGGAGTTGTTCAATGATTGAGCTTAGTAATTTTGTTAGAAGTTTCGAGATAATCCATCGTGAAACTTGCAGCTGTACGTAGATCCTCAGAACAAGTGCCGCTGTAAGTCTTTGAAATCGATGGTGAATACGTTAGGTTTATTGTACCGACCTTAATTGATAACGTAGAAACAAGCATACCACCATTGGGTACGCCGTGCCGCTCATACCCCATAACAGCTGGTCAGCATAGATCATATATTTCCCCGTAGTGGTATTGGTTCTCAGCCACGTAATCCTTGATAACGAACATGCTATAACTGAAAGCATTTATATCCGGAGCAAAAACTCCCAAATACCAAACCAATGACAGAGAGAAACCAAAATGTCCGAAAGGAATGATATAAACAAACAAGTTCAAAGGTTAAGTAAAACAAATGCACCCAAAAACACAGTGAAATTATTGATGTACAATAAAAAGGTTTTAAACAGCCAAATGTCTACAGTTCTCCCGTAACACTTACAATAATAAAAGGTGTAGTAATAATTGCCATGAAAAAGCCATTCGTGTTTCCAAATAGTGGGTTTTCTTATTACATATTGGTAACATGCCTCATCTTAAACCATCGGCTCCTTTGAATTCTCTGTTTATATAGTCCTTTGTCCATTCGTAGCCACACTTTGGGCTGTTACCCTTTAACATGTTGAAATATGCCCACTTGAAAATTGACCTGATAAAAAGAAATAAGTCTAAATGGTAACGTAGTGGTATTAGTTTTAACCACACAATCCCTAGAGCTAAAGATGAGATAACTGGGAAAATAAACTTTCAACATGTCATACTAAGAGGAGATCAAGAATGGTGAACGCGGGAAGATCTAGTAAAATCAGTGAATAGGATGGCATGGCTCAGTCTTGCAGGAGCAGTCCTTAGTGTGCAACTTATCTCTTTAATTCATATTAAATAAATTGTTCTATATTCAACCTAAATATGTTCTTTAGAAAAGCCAAACATTTTATTGCTGATTATTACGATACGACGAGTCAGAATAGACAATGATGTGACTTCCACGTAAGATCTTATGGATTTTATATTACAAATGGCTAGGGTTCACTAATCATGAACATTGTTCTGTTACCTGTTCTCTTCTTTCTCCCCTGTTTTTCGGCACTGTCCTTATATACCACTGAAACAACGCATGCGAAATATATGACTTCGTCCTATACCTTCATTAATACCTCCAATATTTATCTGGGAGCACTGTCACGAAGAGGAAAATATTACGTTGAAGTTGAAGTTTTCAACTGGCCGGTTATGTAGTTGCAGCATTACTTGTGATAAACAGCCATAAACCTTATTCGCATTCATTCCCAACCATAAGTTACTTGTCGCAATGCAGCCTACCTAAAGCACCCCGACCCTTATATAAAACATTCGAGTTTTAGTAACAATCATATTTTAACGTACGAAAATGTGTTCACTTGTTTCTATGACCGATATGTCTTATAACGTACCAACCAAATTAGTAACTTATTACAGTAAATTCTGTAACATTTGTAACAATTTAATCGTGTCTGTAAACTGGCATGCGTCGAGTGACATGATGTTATTTGGAAATAAGTAATCATTATTATAAAAGAATATGTTTCTACTAGAGCATGTTAGTCACGGCTTCGCTGCA